GGGGGCGAGGAGAGGCAAGAGGGGGGCGAGGAGAGGCAAGAGGGGGGCGAGGAGAGGCAAGAGGGGGGCGAGGAGAGGCAAGAGGGGGGCGAGGAGAGGCAAGAGGGGGGCGAGGAGAGGCAAGAGGGGGGCGAGGAGAGGCAAGAGGGGGGGCGAGGAGAGGCAAGAGGGGGGCGAGGAGAGGCAAGAGGGGGGCGAGGAGAGGCAAGAGGGGGGCGAGGAGAGGCAAGAGGGGGGCGAGGAGAGGCAAGAGGGGGGCGAGGAGAGGCAAGAGGGGGCGAGGAGAGGCAAGAGGGGGGCGAGGAGAGGCAAGAGGGGGGCGAGGAGAGGCAAGAGGGGGGCGAGGAGAGGCAAGAGGGGGGCGAGGAGAGGCAAGAGGGGGGCGAGGAGAGGCAAGAGGGGGGCGAGGAGAGGCAAGAGGGGGGCGAGGAGAGGCAAGAGGGGGGCGAGGAGAGGCAAGAGGGGGCGAGGAGAGGCAAGAGGGGGGCGAGGAGAGGCAAGAGGGGGGCGAGGAGAGGCAAGAGGGGGGCGAGGAGAGGCAAGAGGGGGGCGAGGAGAGGCAAGAGGGGGGCGAGGAGAGGCAAAGAGGGGGGCGAGGAGAGGCAAGAGGGGGGCGAGGAGAGGCAAGAGGGGGGCGAGGAGAGGCAAGAGGGGGGCGAGGAGAGGCAAAGAGGGGGGCGAGGAGAGGCAAGAGGGGGGCGAGGAGAGGCAAGAGGGGGCGAGGAGAGGCAAGAGGGGGGCGAGGAGAGGCAAGAGGGGGGCGAGGAGAGGCAAGAGGGGGGCGAGGAGAGGCAAGAGGGGGGCGAGGAGAGGCAAAGAGGGGGGCGAGGAGAGGCAAGAGGGGGGCGAGGAGAGGCAAGAGGGGGGCGAGGAGAGGCAAGAGGGGGGCGAGGAGAGGCAAGAGGGGGGCGAGGAGAGGCAAGAGGGGGGCGAGGAGAGGCAAGAGGGGGGCGAGGAGAGGCAAGAGGGGGGCGAGGAGAGGCAAGAGGGGGGCGAGGAGAGGCAAGAGGGGGGCGAGGAGAGGCAAGAGGGGGGCGAGGAGAGGCAAGAGGGGGGCGAGGAGAGGCAAGAGGGGGGCGAGGAGAGGCAAGAGGGGGGCGAGGAGAGGCAAGAGGGGGGCGAGGAGAGGCAAGAGGGGGGCGAGGAGAGGCAAGAGGGGGGCGAGGAGAGGCAAGAGGGGGGCGAGGAGAGGCAAGAGGGGGGCGAGGAGAGGCAAGAGGGGGGCGAGGAGAGGCAAGAGGGGGGCGAGGAGAGGCAAGAGGGGGGCGAGGAGAGGCAAGAGGGGGGCGAGGAGAGGCAAGAGGGGGGCGAGGAGAGGCAAGAGGGGGGCGAGGAGAGGCAAGAGGGGGGCGAGGAGAGGCAAGAGGGGGGCGAGGAGAGGCAAGAGGGGGGCGAGGAGAGGCAAGAGGGGGGCGAGGAGAGGCAAGAGGGGGGCGAGGAGAGGCAAGAGGGGGGCGAGGAGAGGCAAGAGGGGGGCGAGGAGAGGCAAGAGGGGGGCGAGGAGAGGCAAGAGGGGGGCGAGGAGAGGCAAGAGGGGGGCGAGGAGAGGCAAGAGGGGGGCGAGGAGAGGCAAGAGGGGGGGCGAGGAGAGGCAAGAGGGGGGCGAGGAGAGGCAAGAGGGGGGCGAGGAGAGGCAAGAGGGGGGCGAGGAGAGGCAAGAGGGGGGCGAGGAGAGGCAAGAGGGGGGCGAGGAGAGGCAAGAGGGGGGCGAGGAGAGGCAAGAGGGGGGCGAGGAGAGGCAAGAGGGGGGCGAGGAGAGGCAAGAGGGGGGCGAGGAGAGGCAAGAGGGGGGCGAGGAGAGGCAAGAGGGGGGCGAGGAGAGGCAAGAGGGGGGCGAGGAGAGGCAAGAGGGGGGCGAGGAGAGGCAAGAGGGGGGCGAGGAGAGGCAAGAGGGGGGCGAGGAGAGGCAAGAGGGGGGCGAGGAGAGGCAAGAGGGGGGCGAGGAGAGGCAAGAGGGGGGCGAGGAGAGGCAAGAGGGGGGCGAGGAGAGGCAAGAGGGGGGCGAGGAGAGGCAAGAGGGGGGCGAGGAGAGGCAAGAGGGGGGCGAGGAGAGGCAAGAGGGGGGCGAGGAGAGGCAAGAGGGGGGCGAGGAGAGGCAAGAGGGGGGCGAGGAGAGGCAAGAGGGGGGCGAGGAGAGGCAAGAGGGGGGCGAGGAGAGGCAAGAGGGGGGCGAGGAGAGGCAAGAGGGGGGCGAGGAGAGGCAAGAGGGGGGCGAGGAGAGGCAAGAGGGGGGCGAGGAGAGGCAAGAGGGGGGCGAGGAGAGGCAAGAGGGGGGCGAGGAGAGGCAAGAGGGGGGCGAGGAGAGGCAAGAGGGGGGCGAGGAGAGGCAAGAGGGGGGCGAGGAGAGGCAAGAGGGGGGCGAGGAGAGGCAAGAGGGGGGCGAGGAGAGGCAAGAGGGGGGCGAGGAGAGGCAAGAGGGGGGCGAGGAGAGGCAAGAGGGGGGCGAGGAGAGGCAAGAGGGGGGCGAGGAGAGGCAAGAGGGGGGCGAGGAGAGGCAAGAGGGGGGCGAGGAGAGGCAAGAGGGGGGCGAGGAGAGGCAAGAGGGGGGCGAGGAGAGGCAAGAGGGGGGCGAGGAGAGGCAAGAGGGGGGCGAGGAGAGGCAAGAGGGGGGCGAGGAGAGGCAAGAGGGGGGCGAGGAGAGGCAAGAGGGGGGCGAGGAGAGGCAAGAGGGGGGCGAGGAGAGGCAAGAGGGGGGCGAGGAGAGGCAAGAGGGGGGCGAGGAGAGGCAAGAGGGGGGCGAGGAGAGGCAAGAGGGGGGCGAGGAGAGGCAAGAGGGGGGCGAGGAGAGGCAAAGAGGGGGGCGAGGAGAGGCAAGAGGGGGGCGAGGAGAGGCAAGAGGGGGGCGAGGAGAGGCAAGAGGGGGGCGAGGAGAGGCAAGAGGGGGGGCGAGGAGAGGCAAGAGGGGGGCGAGGAGAGGCAAGAGGGGGCGAGGAGAGGCAAGAGGGGGGCGAGGAGAGGCAAGAGGGGGGCGAGGAGAGGCAAGAGGGGGGCGAGGAGAGGCAAGAGGGGGCGAGGAGAGGCAAGAGGGGGGCGAGGAGAGGCAAGAGGGGGGCGAGGAGAGGCAAGAGGGGGGCGAGGAGAGGCAAGAGGGGGGCGAGGAGAGGCAAGAGGGGGGCGAGGAGAGGCAAGAGGGGGGCGAGGAGAGGCAAGAGGGGGGCGAGGAGAGGCAAGAGGGGGGCGAGGAGAGGCAAGAGGGGGGCGAGGAGAGGCAAGAGGGGGGCGAGGAGAGGCAAGAGGGGGGCGAGGAGAGGCAAGAGGGGGGCGAGGAGAGGCAAGAGGGGGGCGAGGAGAGGCAAGAGGGGGGCGAGGAGAGGCAAGAGGGGGGCGAGGAGAGGCAAGAGGGGGGCGAGGAGAGGCAAGAGGGGGGCGAGGAGAGGCAAGAGGGGGGCGAGGAGAGGCAAGAGGGGGGCGAGGAGAGGCAAGAGGGGGGCGAGGAGAGGCAAGAGGGGGGCGAGGAGAGGCAAGAGGGGGGCGAGGAGAGGCAAGAGGGGGGCGAGGAGAGGCAAGAGGGGGGCGAGGAGAGGCAAGAGGGGGGCGAGGAGAGGCAAGAGGGGGGCGAGGAGAGGCAAGAGGGGGGCGAGGAGAGGCAAGAGGGGGGCGAGGAGAGGCAAGAGGGGGGCGAGGAGAGGCAAGAGGGGGGCGAGGAGAGGCAAGAGGGGGGGCGAGGAGAGGCAAGAGGGGGGCGAGGAGAGGCAAGAGGGGGGCGAGGAGAGGCAAGAGGGGGGCGAGGAGAGGCAAGAGGGGGGCGAGGAGAGGCAAGAGGGGGGCGAGGAGAGGCAAGAGGGGGGCGAGGAGAGGCAAGAGGGGGGCGAGGAGAGGCAAGAGGGGGGCGAGGAGAGGCAAGAGGGGGGCGAGGAGAGGCAAGAGGGGGGCGAGGAGAGGCAAGAGGGGGGCGAGGAGAGGCAAGAGGGGGGCGAGGAGAGGCAAGAGGGGGGCGAGGAGAGGCAAGAGGGGGGCGAGGAGAGGCAAGAGGGGGGCGAGGAGAGGCAAGAGGGGGGCGAGGAGAGGCAAGAGGGGGGCGAGGAGAGGCAAGAGGGGGGCGAGGAGAGGCAAGAGGGGGGCGAGGAGAGGCAAGAGGGGGCGAGGAGAGGCAAGAGGGGGGCGAGGAGAGGCAAGAGGGGGGCGAGGAGAGGCAAGAGGGGGGCGAGGAGAGGCAAGAGGGGGGCGAGGAGAGGCAAGAGGGGGGCGAGGAGAGGCAAGAGGGGGCGAGGAGAGGCAAGAGGGGGGCGAGGAGAGGCAAGAGGGGGGCGAGGAGAGGCAAGAGGGGGGCGAGGAGAGGCAAGAGGGGGGCGAGGAGAGGCAAGAGGGGGGCGAGGAGAGGCAAGAGGGGGGCGAGGAGAGGCAAGAGGGGGGCGAGGAGAGGCAAGAGGGGGGCGAGGAGAGGCAAGAGGGGGGCGAGGAGAGGCAAGAGGGGGGCGAGGAGAGGCAAGAGGGGGGCGAGGAGAGGCAAAGAGGGGGGCGAGGAGAGGCAAGAGGGGGGCGAGGAGAGGCAAGAGGGGGGCGAGGAGAGGCAAGAGGGGGGCGAGGAGAGGCAAGAGGGGGGCGAGGAGAGGCAAGAGGGGGGCGAGGAGAGGCAAGAGGGGGGCGAGGAGAGGCAAGAGGGGGGCGAGGAGAGGCAAGAGGGGGGCGAGGAGAGGCAAGAGGGGGGCGAGGAGAGGCAAGAGGGGGGCGAGGAGAGGCAAGAGGGGGGCGAGGAGAGGCAAGAGGGGGGCGAGGAGAGGCAAGAGGGGGGCGAGGAGAGGCAAGAGGGGGGCGAGGAGAGGCAAGAGGGGGGCGAGGAGAGGCAAGAGGGGGGCGAGGAGAGGCAAGAGGGGGGCGAGGAGAGGCAAGAGGGGGGCGAGGAGAGGCAAGAGGGGGGCGAGGAGAGGCAAGAGGGGGGCGAGGAGAGGCAAGAGGGGGGCGAGGAGAGGCAAGAGGGGGGCGAGGAGAGGCAAGAGGGGGGCGAGGAGAGGCAAGAGGGGGGCGAGGAGAGGCAAGAGGGGGGCGAGGAGAGGCAAGAGGGGGGCGAGGAGAGGCAAGAGGGGGGCGAGGAGAGGCAAGAGGGGGCGAGGAGAGGCAAGAGGGGGGCGAGGAGAGGCAAGAGGGGGGCGAGGAGAGGCAAGAGGGGGGCGAGGAGAGGCAAGAGGGGGGCGAGGAGAGGCAAGAGGGGGGCGAGGAGAGGCAAGAGGGGGGCGAGGAGAGGCAAGAGGGGGGCGAGGAGAGGCAAGAGGGGGGCGAGGAGAGGCAAAAGAGGGGGGCGAGGGGGGCGAGGAGAGGCAAGAGGGGGGCGAGGAGAGGCAAGAGGGGGGCGAGGAGAGGCAAGAGGGGGGCGAGGAGAGGCAAGAGGGGGGCGAGGAGAGGCAAGAGGGGGGCGAGGAGAGGCAAGAGGGGGGCGAGGAGAGGCAAGAGGGGGGCGAGGAGAGGCAAGAGGGGGGCGAGGAGAGGCAAGAGGGGGGCGAGGAGAGGCAAGAGGGGGGCGAGGAGAGGCAAGAGGGGGGCGAGGAGAGGCAAGAGGGGGGCGAGGAGAGGCAAGAGGGGGGCGAGGAGAGGCAAGAGGGGGGCGAGGAGAGGCAAGAGGGGGGCGAGGAGAGGCAAGAGGGGGGCGAGGAGAGGCAAGAGGGGGGCGAGGAGAGGCAAGAGGGGGGCGAGGAGAGGCAAGAGGGGGGCGAGGAGAGGCAAGAGGGGGGCGAGGAGAGGCAAGAGGGGGGCGAGGAGAGGCAAGAGGGGGGCGAGGAGAGGCAAGAGGGGGGCGAGGAGAGGCAAGAGGGGGGCGAGGAGAGGCAAGAGGGGGGCGAGGAGAGGCAAGAGGGGGGCGAGGAGAGGCAAGAGGGGGGCGAGGAGAGGCAAGAGGGGGGCGAGGAGAGGCAAGAGGGGGGCGAGGAGAGGCAAGAGGGGGGCGAGGAGAGGCAAGAGGGGGGCGAGGAGAGGCAAGAGGGGGGCGAGGAGAGGCAAGAGGGGGGCGAGGAGAGGCAAGAGGGGGGCGAGGAGAGGCAAGAGGGGGGCGAGGAGAGGCAAGAGGGGGGCGAGGAGAGGCAAGAGGGGGGCGAGGAGAGGCAAGAGGGGGGCGAGGAGAGGCAAGAGGGGGGCGAGGAGAGGCAAGAGGGGGGCGAGGAGAGGCAAGAGGGGGGCGAGGAGAGGCAAGAGGGGGGCGAGGAGAGGCAAGAGGGGGGCGAGGAGAGGCAAGAGGGGGCGAGGAGAGGCAAGAGGGGGGCGAGGAGAGGCAAGAGGGGGGCGAGGAGAGGCAAGAGGGGGGCGAGGAGAGGCAAGAGGGGGGCGAGGAGAGGCAAGAGGGGGGCGAGGAGAGGCAAGAGGGGGGCGAGGAGAGGCAAGAGGGGGGCGAGGAGAGGCAAGAGGGGGGCGAGGAGAGGCAAGAGGGGGGCGAGGAGAGGCAAGAGGGGGGCGAGGAGAGGCAAGAGGGGGGCGAGGAGAGGCAAGAGGGGGGCGAGGAGAGGCAAGAGGGGGGCGAGGAGAGGCAAGAGGGGGGCGAGGAGAGGCAAGAGGGGGGCGAGGAGAGGCAAGAGGGGGGCGAGGAGAGGCAAGAGGGGGGCGAGGAGAGGCAAGAGGGGGGCGAGGAGAGGCAAGAGGGGGCGAGGAGAGGCAAGAGGGGGGCGAGGAGAGGCAAGAGGGGGGCGAGGAGAGGCAAGAGGGGGGCGAGGAGAGGCAAGAGGGGGGCGAGGAGAGGCAAGAGGGGGCGAGGAGAGGCAAGAGGGGGGCGAGGAGAGGCAAGAGGGGGGCGAGGAGAGGCAAGAGGGGGGCGAGGAGAGGCAAGAGGGGGGCGAGGAGAGGCAAGAGGGGGGCGAGGAGAGGCAAGAGGGGGGCGAGGAGAGGCAAGAGGAGGAGAGGGGGGCGAGGAGAGGCAAGAGGGGGGCGAGGAGAGGCAAGAGGGGGGCGAGGAGAGGCAAGAGGGGGGCGAGGAGAGGCAAGAGGGGGGCGAGGAGAGGCAAGAGGGGGGCGAGGAGAGGCAAGAGGGGGGCGAGGAGAGGCAAGAGGGGGGCGAGGAGAGGCAAGAGGGGGGCGAGGAGAGGCAAGAGGGGGGCGAGGAGAGGCAAGAGGGGGGCGAGGAGAGGCAAGAGGGGGGCGAGGAGAGGCAAGAGGGGGGCGAGGAGAGGCAAGAGGGGGGCGAGGAGAGGCAAGCAAGAGGGGGGCGAGGAGAGGCAAGAGGGGGGCGAGGAGAGGCAAGAGGGGGGCGAGGAGAGGCAAGAGGGGGGCGAGGAGAGGCAAGAGGGGGGCGAGGAGAGGCAAGAGGGGGGCGAGGAGAGGCAAGAGGGGGGCGAGGAGAGGCAAGAGGGGGGCGAGGAGAGGCAAGAGGGGGGCGAGGAGAGGCAAGAGGGGGGCGAGGAGAGGCAAGAGAGGGGGCGAGGAGAGGCAAGAGGGGGGCGAGGAGAGGCAAGAGGGGGGCGAGGAGAGGCAAGAGGGGGGCGAGGAGAGGCAAGAGGGGGGCGAGGAGAGGCAAGAGGGGGGCGAGGAGAGGCAAGAGGGGGGCGAGGAGAGGCAAGAGGGGGGCGAGGAGAGGCAAGAGGGGGGGGGCGAGGAGAGGCAAGAGGGGGGCGAGGAGAGGCAAGAGGGGGGCGAGGAGAGGCAAGAGGGGGGCGAGGAGAGGCAAGAGGGGGGCGAGGAGAGGCAAGAGGGGGGCGAGGAGAGGCAAGAGGGGGGCGAGGAGAGGCAAGAGGGGGGCGAGGAGAGGCAAGAGGGGGGGCGAGGAGAGGCAAGAGGGGGGCGAGGAGAGGCAAGAGGGGGGCGAGGAGAGGCAAGAGGGGGGCGAGGAGAGGCAAGAGGGGGGCGAGGAGAGGCAAGAGGGGGGCGAGGAGAGGCAAGAGGGGGGCGAGGAGAGGCAAGAGGGGGGCGAGGAGAGGCAAGAGGGGGCGATGGAGAGGCAAGAGGGGGGCGAGGAGAGGCAAGAGGGGGGCGAGGAGAGGCAAGAGGGGGGCGAGGAGAGGCAAGAGGGGGGCGAGGAGAGGCAAGAGGGGGCGAGGAGAGGCAAGAGGGGGGCGAGGAGAGGCAAGAGGGGGCGAGGAGAGGCAAGAGGGGGCGAGGAGAGGCAAGAGGGGGGCGAGGAGAGGCAAGAGGGGGGCGAGGAGAGGCAAGAGGGGGGCGAGGAGAGGCAAGAGGGGGGCGAGGAGAGGCAAGAGGGGGGCGAGGAGAGGCAAGAGGGGGGCGAGGAGAGGCAAGAGGGGGGCGAGGAGAGGCAAGAGGGGGCGCGGAGAGGCAAGAGGGCAAGAGGGGGCGAGGAGAGGCAAGAGGGGGGCGAGGAGAGGCAAGAGGGGGGCGAGGAGAGGCAAGAGGGGGCGAGGAGAGGCAAGAGGGGGCGAGGAGAGGCAAGAGGGGGGCGAGGAGAGGCAAGAGGGGGCGAGGAGAGGCAAGAGGGGGGCGAGGAGAGGCAAGAGGGGGGCGAGGAGAGGCAAGAGGGGGGCGAGGAGAGGCAAGAGAGGGGGCGAGGGAGAGGCAAGAGGGGGGCGAGGAGAGGCAAGAGGGGGCGAGGAGAGGCAAGAGGGGGGCGAGGAGAGGCAAGAGGGGGGCGAGGAGAGGCAAGAGGGGGGCGAGGAGAGGCAAGAGGGGGGCGAGGAGAGGCAAGAGGGGGGCGAGGAGAGGCAAGAGGGGGGCGAGGAGAGGCAAGAGGGGGGCGAGGAGGAGAGGCAAGAGGGGGGCGAGGAGAGGCAAGAAGAGGGGGGCGAGGAGAGGCAAGAGGGGGGCGAGGAGAGGCAAGAGGGGGGCGAGGAGAGGCAAGAGGGGGGCGAGGAGAGGCAAGAGGGGGGCGAGGAGAGGCAAGAGGGGGGCGAGGAGAGGCAAGAGGGGGGCGAGGAGAGGCAAGAGGGGGGCGAGGAGAGGCAAGAGGGGAGGGGGGCGAGGAGAGGCAAGAGGGGGGCGAGGAGAGGCAAGAGGGGGCGAGGAGAGGCAAAGAGGGGGCGAGGAGAGGCAAGAGGGGGGCGAGGAGGCAAGAGGGGGGCGAGGAGAGGCAAGAGGGGGGCGAGGAGAGGCAAGAGGGGGGCGAGGAGAGGCAGAGAGGGGGGCGAGGAGAGGCAAGAGGCAAGGGGGGGCGAGGAGAGGCAAGAGGGGGGCGAGGAGAGGCAAGAGGGGGCGAGGAGAGGCAAGAGGGGGCGAGGAGAGGCAAGAGGGGGGCGAGGAGAGGCAAGAGGGGGGCGAGGAGAGGCAAGAGGGGGGCGAGGAGAGGCAAGAGGGGGGCGAGGAGAGGCAAGAGGGGGGCGAGGAGAGGCAAGAGGGGGGCGAGGAGAGGCAAGAGGGGGGCGAGGAGAGGCAAGAGGGGGGCGAGGAGAGGCAAGAGGGGGGCGAGGAGAGGCAAGAGGGGGGCGAGGAGAGGCAAGAGGGGGGCGAGGAGAGGCAAGAGGGGGGCGAGGAGAGGCAAGAGGGGGGCGAGGAGAGGCAAGAGGGGGGCGAGGAGAGGCAAGAGGGGGGCGAGGAGAGGCAAGAGGGGGGGGGCGAGGAGAGGCAAGAGGGGGGCGAGGAGAGGCAAGAGGGGGCGAGGAGAGGCAAGAGGGGGGCGAGGAGAGGCAAGAGGGGGGCGAGGAGAGGCAAGAGGGGGGCGAGGAGAGGCAAGAGGGGGGCGAGGAGAGGTGCACCGGCAGGGATGACGAGCATGGCGCCATCGGGGGACCAGGCAAGGCGGCGGAAGAAGGAGGGCATGTTCTCATCGTGAAACAGGTGTACCCGCACTGCCTGGGGGGCGCAGGGGGAGACAAGGGAGGGCAGAGTTGGACATGGGAATTAGTGGGCGTGGCTGTGGCTCCTGCATGCTCGTGCTCGTGCTCGTGCTCGTGCTCGTGCTTGTGCTTGTGCTTGTGCTTGTGCTTGTGCTTGTGCAGGCATGCATGTACATGCGTGTGCGCGCGAATGCACACACACACACTTGTCTCTTTGTGACCATGACTGCATGCATGCCAGGCTGTCAGCTTCTCCTTAACTGTTGTGTCTTCTTCACCACTGCAGCCTGCACCTCACTCAGAAATACACGCCCTCACCCAAAAATACACGCCCTCGCCCACCTTACTCGGCCCTTCTGCCTTGGCCCCATTCTCCACCTCCATTGCTGCGCCACCCTCCCCTCCTCCCGCTTTCCTCTCCCCCTCCACTGCTGCACCCACTGCTTCCGCTCCTCTCTCTTTCCCACCCTCTCCTTCCCCTTCCCCTCCCCCTCCTCTTCCTCCCCCCCCTGCCTCCCCCGCACCCCTTTCCTCCCCCCCTGCAACAGCAGCAGCAGCAGCAGCAGCAGCAGCAGCGGGAACATCTCGTTTCTGAATCACATGCACACACCGCACCACACCTGCTGCCTTCTGCTGCTTCCCGCCCCCTCCTCCTCCCTTCGCCCCCCCTCCAGCCGCGGCTGCACCCCCAACAACCCCACCAGCACCAGCACCAGCAGCAGCAGCAGCAGCAGCAGCAGCAGCGGTGGGAGGGGGCGAGGGGAGGGAGTAGACGCGGCAGGTGCGGTCGCCGCTGCAGGTGACGAGGAAGCGGGAGAGAGGGTCCCAGGCGACGCCCTGCACGTAGTGCACATGGTCCTTGAGAAACGCCTCTGGCACCCCTGTTGGCCAATGGACACACGAGAGGAGGAGGGGGGGATGAATGAGAGGATGAGGGGATGAGGGGATGAGGGGATGAGGGGATGAGGGGATGTGCGGATGTGTTATGAAGGGGTTGAGACGATGAAAGAGGGAAAGGACGATTTGAGCCATTGAGAGGCTAAGAGATTGATGGGTGGAGTGGAGGGGTTGATTGAGATGCTGGAAAGTCGAGAGATTAAAGGGAAGGCTCAGGGAAAGCGAGGAACCAGGATGCATGAGTGAGAAGGTTTGAATGAGGGGGAGTGAGAAGTGCGAGGAGTGAGGAGGAGTGAGGAGTGAGGCGAGGCGTGAGGAGTGAGGGAGCAGTAGGGAGGAGTGTGAAGGAAGGATGCCGCAGGAGGGGAAAAGTAGGGAGGAGAGAGAGGGAGGAGGGAGGGAGGGAGGGGGAGGGAGGAGGAGAGTGACCTCGGGCGAGGTTCCAGACAATGGCCGAGTTGTCCACTGAGCCTGATGCCAGTGACAGCCCATCGGGCGACCACGAGAGGTCCAGCACGTCCCTCTCATGCCGACTGCTCGGGCAGCGCAGGGGTGTGTGTGTGTGTGTGCATGCGCAGGGAGGGGGAGGGAAAATTTGAGTCGACTCAAAAGACGCCGAGAGGTCCAACACGTCCCTCTCATGGCACTGTGGTGCACACGCAGGGGGGGAGAGGAGAGCTGCGAGGAGAGCTGCGATCAGAAGCCGTCAAGGAATAGAGCAGCGGAAGGAATAGGGACGGATAGCATTGGGGAGGGGAACAGGGTTTGAGCTTGGGAAGGGGATGGGGATGGAAATGGAGGAGGGATAGAGCAGGAGGATGGTGGAAGGGAGCGCAGAAAACTTGAGGGGGATAGGGAACGCAAGAAAGCGAGTGTTTATGCGTGCAAGAGAGTGTGGGACAGAGAGGAGTGTGAGGCTGTCTAGAAGGCAGGGTACAAGAGATATTAGGTACAAGAGAGAGGAAAGGGTGCAAGATTGAGCATGCCGGGCATCACCTGAGAGCTCGAAAGACCTTCCAGATGGCCCCATTGGGCGTCTGTACCTGCCTCCATAGCACTATCTCCCCTCCTGATGGCGCCACGCACACGCACATGCACACATGCACACATGCACGCATGGACACACACATGCACATGCACACAAGCACACATGCACACATGCACACATGCACACATACACACATGCACATGCAAACATGCACCCACACATGCACATGCACACATGCACCCACACATGCACGCATGCACGGATGCATGCACGCATGCACGCACACATGCACGCACACATGCACACATGCACACATGCACAAATGCACAAATGCACATATGCACACATGCACACATGCACACACGCACCCACACATGCATGCATGCATGCACACATGCACACACGTACACATGCACACATGCACACATGCACACATGCACACATGCACACATGCACACATGCACACATGCACACATACACACATGCACATGCACACATGCACCCACACATGCACGCATGCGGATACATGCACGCATGCACGCACACATGCACGCACACATGCACACATGCACACATGCACACACGCACGCATGCACGCACACATGCACACACGTACACATGCACACATGCACACATGCACGCACACACACGCACACATGCACACATGCACATATGCACACATGCACACATGCACACATACACACATGCTCACATGCACACATGCACACATGCACACATGCACACACACAGACACGCACAAACAGCAGCATGAGTGACAGCATGGCAGGAAGGGAATGCGGTGGCCGGGAACAAGCACTTCCGAGCAATGTGAGGTGATGAGCAGAGGAGCAGCAGTGTTGGGACGAAACGATGTATGGAAGAGGATGGGAAGGATGTGAGTGGGCGGCGGGATGTGAATGGGTGAAGGGATGTGAATGGGTGAAGGGATGTGAATGGGTGAGGGGATGTGAATGGGTGAGGGGATGTGAATGGGTGAAGGGATGCGGATGGGTGAGGGGATGTGTGGGCGGGTGAAGAAGCTTACCATCTGCTCCTGAGGCGAGGACGTCCCCTGAGAGATTGGTGCGGGATAGAGAGCGAGAGACAGAGACAAGGACATAGTGAGAAACGCGCAGCCTTGCAGCGCAATGAGGGTACATGCCCATGGTGAACACAGAGAAGCACATGCGCACATCCACAGACACACGTTTCACACATGCACATGCACATGCACAGGCCAGCTAGGCAGACGGGCGGGCGGACGGACAGACACGCACACCAACAGTGGCACATATGCACCATGGCAGAGACAGTACGCAGCTTGCGCCCGATGCGGTGAGGGCATGCGGGTGAGGGCATGCGGGTGAGGGCATGCGGGTGAGGGCATGCGGGTGAGGGCATGCGTGCACCAGAGGGCGAGAAGCGCAGGGCGTTGACAGCGTAGTTGTGGTGCGCTAGTGCAGCCACGAACTCCACTGTCGGCTCCCCTGCTGCATCCCATGCCACTCTCCACAACTGCAGGGGGGGAGAGAGACCGGGGGGTGCAGATCCGGACAGGGACGGAAGGCAAGGGAAGGGGAGGAGAGGTGAGGGGAGCGGAGCAGAGGGGAGGGGAGGGGAGGAAATGGGAGGGGGTAGGGTAGGGTAGGGCTGGTTGTCATGTGTATGGTGCTTGGAAGTGAGCATCCTTCGCGCGCTCTCTCTCTCGTTCCTCCCTCCTGCCTGCACTCCCCAACCACCGACCCTCATTCACGCGCACGCACTCACCCACAGTCCCTTGCCCTCGCACCCTTGATTCTAAGTAAGTGAGCAACCCAAGCAAACACGACAACATAGCCTACCAAACTATGTGCAAGTATATAGTTTGACACGTGCGCCTAGCCAGCGGGCAACACTTGCGCCCTGCCAGCGTATGGCATCAGCAGCGCGCGCGCCCCGCCAGAACGACACACGCCTGGCCCTCTTCGCCTTGTTTGCGCCTCACATGCCAATTCCCCTCCGACCTTCATTTTCACCAGTCCTCTCATATCCGCCAATTTCTCTCCCCCATACCTCCTCTCCCACCCATCTTCCCCTTCTCCACGCCTTCCCCCTCACCGCGAGCCTCGTCAACCCATCTCGCGCCGCACCTTAATCTCCTTATCCGCGCCGCCAGTTGCGAGCACGCCCGACGGGTGGAAGTCCGCGGAGAGCACGGGCTCGCGCCCGTGCCACAGCACCTGCACCGTCTTCACACGCATTTTCGCCGCCTGACGCCCGTTTGCGTCCGTCAACCTCCGTCAAGCTCCGTCAGCCTCCGTCAGTCTACGTCAGCGTCTGTTAGCATCTGTCAGTCCGTGGATTTGTCCACCTCCGTCAGCTACCGTCGTCGGTCTCGACTCTCGCTCTCTCTCTCGCTCCCTCTCGTCGTCGTCGATGCAGCCAAGATCGGCCACCGTTCACGCGGTGTAGTTTCGAGGTCACGTGACGCGATGCGTTCCACGGTCGCAGCAGCGGACGATTCACCCGCAAATCACAAACGCCGTCGTCCGCACGAAGCTTCGCTGCAAGCTCTGGCTAGCGTTAGCCGGCAAACCCGGACCTGGCCAAATTAGTCACCGTGCTCCTCCCCAACTCCTACAGGCTTTCGCGCACCGCATCGCGCATCCCAACTCTTGGAGCTTTTCATAAAAAACTGTAGCAACAATTTCGCGGGCTTTGCTGATCAGTGTCAGTCAAAGCGCCAACAGTAATAAACGCGGTAGTGAGGGTTGCGTTGCAGCTTACAGCACGTGAAGACATGCTAACAAAAACGCGCACACTTCGTATGGTATGGCAAAAGCATATTCACTACCTTCATCCAATATTATGATCTGTTGTGTCAGCTGAACCAAGCATTGTACTTTTCTGGTCGAACAAGAAGCCGCAAAATCACCGCTTTTTCAATGGTTGAACAGCCAACACAATCCTAACAGCATGCCCCCAACCATCAGTTAATGTCAAGCTACCGAATGAGAAGTATGTGCTCGCACTCAGTACAGTAAACCTCACTGTTATAGTAACACTCTCACCTGGCTCTATCGTGAACGCATCTGGCGAAACATTCATGCGCACTCTCCTCGGTTCTACGACACTCACAAAATACATCGACCCATAATCAGCCACATTCGTAACCGTCCGTTTCACCGTCACACTCCTCCTCAGCCGCGACACGGAAATCACCGGACGGTTGAGATCGCACGCGCGAATCTTCCGCAAAACCGTGCCCTGAAACTGCCTCTTGGCCCGAGCATAACTCTGCCCGGCCAGAAAATTAGCATAATCGCTCACATTCGCGTTAAACGTCAGGCCAGGGTCCATAATCTTCTCAGGACGCACATGCCCTGCTCCCATCTCCCACGGGCTCGCATCGCCCCCGTAGTCGTTCCTTATCGCCAGGCCGCGGTTACTGGTAACCGCCGCGGTGGTCATAATAGCGGACATAACCTGCGCCGGGGACCAGTCAGGCCGCTGTTGCACGATGAGTGCTGCAACGCCCGCCACATGCGGCGTGGCCATGGAGGTCCCGGAGAGCAGCGCAAAGTAGCCCAAGGAGGGGGCCATGGAGTGATCCGGAGGGGGGAATGCGGCCCAGAGCTGCACGCCCGGCGCGATGATGTCGGGCTTGAGGATGTCGTTGGTGGGCTTGGGTGCTGTGGGCGCGGCGGTGGGGGGCACGAGCGGGCCGCAGGAGGAGGTGGGGGAGATGACTGGCGCCTCTGCTGGCGATCCGGGGAGTTCGAACGGGGTGATGCGCGTGCTGGTGGGATGGGGGAGAGGGTTGGGATGGGATGGGGGTTAGGCTTGTGGCATGGGGTGGGGGGCGTGTGGCTTGTGGCATGGGGTTTGGGGCGTGTGGCATGCGGCATGGGGCATAATGCATGGGCCATGTGGTATGTGGCATGTGGCACGTGGCATGGGGAGTGGTACCTCACAGGGTTCCCAGATTGATGAAAGGATACAGGAATTACATGGTTGAAGGTAATGCATAGCAGACATCAGCACGAGAGCACACATCCGTGTCACTCACACACGAGGTGCATGGGTGCAGGAGGGGAGAACAAAGAGAGGTACAGTGCTGTGGTGCCCTGCTGTTCCTTGCAGCGACTAGATGATCGAGCTACATTGCCCATGTGCTACAGTGCCCATGTGCTACAGTGCCCATGTGCTACGGTGTCCATGTGCTACATTGCCCATGTGCTACAGTGCCCATGTGCTACAGTACCCATGTGCTACAGTGCCCATATGCTACGGTGTCCATGTGCTACATTGCCCATGTGCTACAGTGCCCATGTGCTACAGTGCCCAAATGCTACATTGCCCATGTGCTACAGTGCCCCTGTGCTACAGTGCACATGTGCAGCAGTGCCCCTTGCTACAGTGCCATACATGCGAGAGCCACACACAGCAGCCAACAGCTCAAGCATCAAGAGCGGAAGAGGCAGAGGCAAGAGTCGAGAGCACGCATAGGAGAGCGGGTTGTGCCACTTACCGGGACGGCACACCGCCGCTGTTGACGCTCGAGGTGGCATTTGAATGCGCTGCAATAACCGCGTGCACAACAGCAGCACCAGCAGCAGCAAACGCTTGAGTGGCAAGTGTGGGCGGGTGAGCAGTGGCAGCATCAGCAGTGGGGTAGTGCATGGCGGTGGCGGTGGCGGTAGCGGTAGCATCGGATGCAGAGAATGCTGTGGCACTGCCGTCTATGGCTGACACCCGGCTGATGGAGCTGTAGTGTGCACGGGGGTGCAAGGGGAGAGGGAAGCGTTGGGAGTGGAGAGCGGGGAGTGGGGAGTGGGGAGTGGGGAGTGAGTTAAGGAGAAAGGTAGCAGCAGCAGCATGGTACTGCATGGCTGTGGTGGCGGGAGCATCTGATGTGGAGAGCACTGCAGCACTGCCGTCTATTGCTGACACTGACTGATGGAGCTGCCTTGTGCACGCAAGTGGGGAGAGAGGAGTGGAGGAGAGGAAGAGAGAGAGGGGAAAGGCGGCAGGGTAACAAGGGAGGTGTAGGGGGAGAGGAAAAAGGGAGTGTGGAAGAAACGAAGGAGGGGATGGGAGAAATGATGGCGGTTGGAAGATGGAAGAAGGATGTATGAGCGATGGGTGGGAGTAGTATGGGACAGATAGGGAGGAGTGAAACGAGAGCCGTGACTCGTGATCCGAGGGAGGCTGAGCATGTGTGGACGGGAGGCAGTGCTACTTGTACTGAAGCCCGCAGTTTGTTTAGAGGGCACTTCGATTAAACAGCAGTACTGCTTCCCAACAGGATAAGCGAAAAGCAGGAGGCAAGGCCTATGAGCAGAATCTACCAGTGATTGGCTCTTGTACACATGAAAGTGCTGGGGGAGGGTGACAGCAAAGCCGACTCAAAAGAGTGGAGCGTGTTAGTGCTAGTGCTAGTAAGAGTGCTGGTGCTGGTGCTAGTGTTCGTGCGAGTGCGAGTGCTGGTGCTAGTGGGGGGTGGGGATGGGGATGTGGATGTGAGGTAGGAGTGGTAGGTATTAGAGAGAAGGTGGGGGTGCAAGTAGAAAAGCAGCAAGAGCAGGAGAAAGGTGTGGCGACAGGGAGGTATCAGAGAGTGTGAGCGGGATATTGAGACGTGCGAGGGAGAAAGAAGAGAAGGCCACAAGGAAGGAAGTAAGGCAGGAGGAGGGGAGTGAGTGAGTGGCATACCTAGCTCCAACGGTGAGGTACCACGGGGCGAAGTTGCAGAGCTTGCGGTACGACGAGGCCTTGCCTCGAGGGGCCCCGCTGTTGCCCGCTGCAAACACTGTCACCACACCCGCCTGCCAGGGGGTGGATACGAACGAGGTATGTGGGGTGGGGTTGCATGGAGAGCAAAGCACATGGGAGGGTGGCGGAGGTGAGGTGTAGGTGGAGGTGCGACGAAGGGATTGAGGAGGGGGGAATGAAGGAGTGAGGGCGGGATGTGGTATGGAGGATGAAGGGAGGCGCCACACCCCATCCCCACCCCATCCCTACCCCATCCCCGCTCCGTCCTACCCTATCCTATCCCAACCCCCCCTTCACCCACCACCAACCACAAGCGCATTCCGAAAAGCAGCATCGGGCCTCAAGGAGGGCGGTGGAATGCGCTTGCGGTTGGTGCAACGTTCTGCATGCCTCAAGCCTGCTCAGCAGCGACAGGCTGAGCCATCACCCCCTCCTCATTCATCCAGCTCTGCGCTCTGCGCTCTGCGCCCTGCGCCCTGCGCCCTGCGCCCTGCCCCTGCCCCTGCCCCTGCCCCTGCCCCTGCCCTTGCCTCGTCCCTGTCCCGTCCCTGCCCCAATCCCACCCCATCACAACTCGTCCTTTCCCGAAGACTCAGCGCAAGCGCATTGTGGAAGGCAGCATTGTGGAAGGCAGCATTGTGGAAGGCAGCATTGTGGAAGGCAGCATCGTGGAAGTACCTGATCGACGCCTCAACGCTGCCCACCACCATCACCCTCCTCCTCCTGCCGTCCCCGCCCCATCCCCGCCCCATCCCCGCCCCATCCCCGCCCCATCCCCGCCTCATCCCTACCCCACCCCTTCGCCCCTTCCTATCCCAACCCCATTGCAACCCCGTATCCGCCCCACTCCCACCCTAAACAACCCACCGCGAGCGCATTGAGAAGCACAGCATCGTGGAAGCACGCTCTGGATGCCGCAAGGCTGCCCAGCGACAGGCTCAGCAGCACGTCCACTCTCCCCCCCCCCCCCCCCCCCCCTCCATCCCAACCAGCCCCAGCAGTAGCCGCTCTCCCCACCATTTCCCCACTGACCGCAAGAGCATTGAGGAACACAGCATCGTGGAAGTATGTCCTGGAGGCCGCAAGGCTGCCCAGCGACAGGCTCAGCACGTCCACGCCGTCCGCCACAGCCGCATTCACCGCCGCTGCTATGTCCGCCTCCGTCGCCCACACCTGTCCCCTACTGCGCCAAAACACCTTGTAGGCGGCAATGCGCGCGCGCGGCGCCATGCCGCTTGCTGTTTCCCCTGTGTCGCCTAGCGGCACCCCCGCGGCTCCTGCTGCTGCCCTGTGAAGGATAAGGAAGGACAGGGGATGGGAGGAGGGGGTCGGGGGAGGGGAAGGGGAGGCGCGCGGAGGGGTGTGGAGGGGCGAAGTTGGGAATGGGGAAAGGGGAGGGGAAGGGGTGGGGGGGGGGGGGGGGTGGGGTGGGAAGGAGAGGGGAGGAGTATGTGTGTGTGGGAGGGGTTGGGAGGGAAGTGGAGGGATTTTTTGAGGGTTCTAAAAAAATCTTTGTGGCAGAGTAAGTGCATGGGACGCCATTGCGCGTTCAGCTGCGCGCTCATGGTCACGCAGCCTTGCTGCCCCGCAACACGTGGCTGCCTGCCTGCCTGCTTCTGCTGCTATACGCGTACACACACAGCACGGCAAGGACACCCACAGTGCCTGCCTGGTGGGTGGGCCCGCAGCGGTAGAAAAAAGAGGCGTCACCACCCACCCACCCACCCACCCAGCACCGCCACTGGGAGTTGGACCAGGAGGGCGGGACGAGAAGAGGGTGAGGCGGGGTGTCAAGAAGGTGACGGTGTGGGAAAAACAAGACTCCCTGCGTAATGGAAAGGCTTGTGGAGATGATTTGAGGGTGTGGGGCAAGGATGGGAGGGAGAGAGGGGAGAAGGGGAGAGAATAGGGAGGCTGCGGTGGAGGGGAAAGGGGAGACAATGGGTGCAGTAGGGGGCGTGTAGATGCAGTGGGTGTGGACGGACTGGCGAATCCCATCCTTCTCTCCCCACCACCACACATGCTATCTTTTCCCCTCCCCCCCTCCATCCTTGTTCTTCTTCCACCACACCACATCCTCCGTATGGTACAAACCCCTTTCCCCTGCGACAACCCAACCCAACCCAGCCTCCTTCCCCCTCCCCCTTTGTCTCACACCACATGCTCCTTGGCTCCCACGCTTTCGTTCACCATCACGCTTTAGACTCTCTCTCTCTCTCTCTCTCTCTCTCTCTCTCTCTCTCTCTCTCTCTCTCTCTCTCTCTCTCTCTCTCTCTCTCTCTCTCTCTCTCTCTCTCTCTCTCTCTCTCTCTCTCTCTCTCTCTCTCTCTCTCTCTCTCTCTCTCTCTCTCTCTCTCTCTCTCTCTCTCTCTCTCTCTCTCTCTCTCTCTCTCTCTCTCTCTCTCTCTCTCTCTCTCTCTCTCTCTCTCTCTCTCTCTCTCTCTCTCTCTCTCTCTCTCTCTCTCTCTCTCTCTCTCTCTCTCTCTCTCTCTCTCTCTCTCTCTCTCTCTCTCTCTCTCTCTCTCTCTCTCTCTCTCTCTCTCTCTCTCTCTCTCTCTCTCTCTCTCTCTCTCTCTCTCTCTCTCTCTCTCTCTCTCTCTCTCTCTCTCTCTCTCTCTCTCTCTCTCTCTCTCTCTCTCTCTCTCTCTCTCTCTCTCTCTCTCTCTCTCGAATGGTCCGTGTATTAGCTGAAGGGTGGTACAAAGGTTTGAAGCAGACACATGCAAACTAGGCAAACAAGCAGACCTACTCCCCTCCCCCCCCCCGCTGTCCGACCCTAGTGGTCGGACGGGGGCTCAATCAGCTGGTGCAGCTGCCCCTCGTTGAGGGGGGCCCACGGCCCTTGCAGGCTGAGCTCGTCCGCCTCCAGGGCCTCATTGGTCTTGGTGCGGAGGGCGTTTGCCTGCGCCCTCTGGAGGCACACGCTCCAGCGCTGGCGGTACTCCGTCAGCAGCTTGGCAGCCTCTCGAGAGGTAGGGGCCGCGTTGTAGCGGAGCTTCGCCGCCAGCTCCGCGCACTGCCGCAGGTAAGTCAGCACCCCCGGCGACGGGTAGCCGTAGGTCTCCACGGCCAAGGCGTGGAACCCCACCCACGCGTTCCGTCCCGCATATTTCTCCTCCTTCCGAGCAGCTGCCGCCCTAGCCGCCCAACCAGGTGCGCGGTTGCAGTTCTCGTCCTGGTAGGACACCGGGTCGGTCACGGTCACATCACAAAGCCACACTTCTCCGGTCAGGGGATGGCGGATGGAGACATCCGCTTTAGGGTTTTCAACCAGAGAGTAGGCATAGGTCTCCTTGTGAACCGTGAAGCCTGCTTCCGCCCCTATCCTTGCGATTTCATCCCTGAGAGCATGGTGTGTGGCAGTCCTCCCTTTCCCCTTCTCGCAGCGCATAAGGTGATTCGGGAGGCGGTCATCAGGAAAGGTGGTGCGGTATCGGCAGTCGCACCGCCTTGGGATAGGGAGGGGGAGCAGTGCGGCTATGGCGGGGTGTAGGGAGTCGGCTAGCGAGTGCAGGAGGTGAGCCGCGCCGACCACCGAAGCGAGGTACGCGTAACTTCCTTCCACGGCCGGGTCCGTAATGCCCAAACCCCCCAAGGTAACGGGGAGCGCTGCCTGCCGCCAAATACGCCTCCTTTCCGCGTTGCTCCTTGGCGCGACAATGTGCGCGGCCTCTAGGAACGCGTGGAGCAGCCGCTCCCCCCATGCCGACCATTCTGCTGTGGGCAGGACCTCCAGCGGGGTTGTCCTTGCCAGGAAGGAGGCGCGGCGGCTGACGCAACGTGTGAGGAGGAGGAGGCAGAGCTGCGGGTCCATTTGCGCTAGCAACGGGAGCGGTTCAGCTGCTGCCGTAAGTCTGTCCCTGACTGCCACGGCGCAGCCCTGCGTTGTGCCGACGGGGCTGCCGAGGATTTGCAGCCCTTCGGTCGAGATGGTGATGCCGGGGGGGACGGAGGCAGGGTCAATTGGGGCGGCGGACCGCAGACGCATCACCGAGCAGCGTGATGTCGTCGGCGTAGGCGAGTAGGACCACCTGCGGGTGAGCCGCTGCCGTCGCAACGAGGCAGGGGTGGATGATTGCGGCGAATAGAAGGGGGCCGAGGGGATCACCTTGGCGGACCCCCCTGGCGCTTTGCAGTGGAGCCGCTGCGAACTCATGGTCGAGGAAGAGCGAGGAGGGGACTCCGTAAGACAGGCGGACCAGGGGGGTGAGGCTCTCGAGCGCTTCGTTCCTCAACCCCTCGAACACCGCTCTCCTCTCGACCGCGTTGAACGCGTTCGCGAGGTCGATCTGTAGCGCTACTGCCGCGGGATGGACCTCCAGGTAAGTACGTGCCGTGTGTATAGCGGCCTCAATGCCCCCCGCTACCGCCACGCCGAACTGAAGGGGGACGAAGTGAGATCTAGCGGCGGGCGCGATCAGGAAAAGAGCGGCTTCGGCGATGATCCGAAGCAGGCATTCCCCGACCGCGATCGGCCTCGTCCCACCGTGCGGTTTCGTGAAGGCCAAAAGACGAGAGGCGGTAAGTAGCTCTCCCGCAACGGCTGGTAGCTTCCCCACCAGAGCCGTGTTGGTGAGGGCTAGGAGGTGGGTGAAGACTTCGGCGTTTCCTAGTACTGCATCACGGAGATGTTCGAAGGTAGTTCCTAAGGGGCCCGCCCCCACTCCATTGGGGAGATTGGCGATGATCCTTCTGAAGTCGCGGGCTTCGATAGCGGGAGGGTTTTCCGCTGTGGCAGCGTGCAGCCAATCAGGTAGCGGTTGGGATGCAGGTGGGTGTCTCGTCCTCAGGGCCTCGAGAACTTCAGGTGAGGCAGGCGACACGGGCGTGGCTTGCAGGGATTGCAATGATTTTAAGAGGTTACCACGCTTCGCCAGGCCCTCCGCTCTGGCGAGAATTCCAGTTGTGTCAGGTGCGTGGCGAGGCTGCGGGGGGAGGGAGATCGATTCGGCAGCTTCTTCGTAGAGGCCGGCCCAGAGCCCTTGGCGAAATCGCAGGAGCCTGTTCATCATTGCGCTCCAGTCAGGCTTACGAGCTGACGAGGAGCGAAGAAGTAAGCGAGGGAGGAAGGTGAGTAACATCCAGCCAGGTTCTGACTCGGGGTTGGCTGCCAGGTGGAGTAACGGTGTCAGCAGGCAAATCGCGAAAGACTCGGTCTTTTGGAGGGTGGCGGGCGACTGGGGGTTGGCGACTGTCGCGCAGCGGGCCAATGTCCCAGTCAGCAACCTGGGCGAACAGGTCAGTATTTTTCGCCAGGTCGTCGGGTTTGAGCATTGGGGGGGTCGGAATTGGGGCTGCTGAATTCTCATTGGCTGTCGCAGAGTCAACTCTAGTCTCTGTGGCGGCTCGATTTCCCCTCCTTGCGTGATTTCCCCCCGCGGCTCGGTTCTGAGCTGTGGTTCGGTTGGCAGGTTCGCCTCAGACATTTGGGCTGGGGAGCTACTCTCCCCGAAGCAAAAGTTCCAACTCCTCCTCGTCCTCCTCAGCTTCTGCTCCCAACATCCTCTCTCTTTCAGGGTTAAAAGCAGGGTCACCCTCGTTACTTTCCTCATTCTCCACTTCCTCCTCTGCCTCCTCGCTAAGCGATTCCTCGCCGCCCTCCGCGCCGTTTCGCATCAGCCTTTCCGCATTTCTCGCGTAGCCGCTTGCACCAGTGCGGCGCCTGTTTGAACCCCGTGTTCCACCACCTCTTCGTCCTCTCTCGTTACCTCGTCGTCCGCGGCGGCTGCCGCGTCCCACGCGGTTCCGCGTTGCTCTTCCAACTGCAGCTCCCTCGCGCCCTGTCTGCGGCGCCGCGACAGTCTCGTTTTCGCTTCGTCGGCGCGCTGGCGACGGCTGCGGTACGATCGGGGGTGATGGACCCATCCGCGAAACGGGATCCGGAGCTGGAGGGTTCCGCGGAGAGCGCGCTGCCGGAGCCTGCGCCTGCCGGGCCTCGTCCGCGTCTCCTTGCGCACCCCTCCGCAAGCGAGCCCGCCGCTTCGAGCGGGTGCAAAAACTTCCCCATCGGCCTGCCGCGCGCCCCACCTCGCCGGAGTATTCGTGGGCGCCTGCACGTGTTGCGTCGAACCGCCCGGACGGTCAGCCGCGGCATGAGCGCGGGCGCTCGCCTCCACGTCAGCCTCCTTGGCCGCCCTCTCCTCGCCGCCCTTCTCCTGAGCATCGCGAGCACTATCAGCGCGAGGAGGGGGATCAGCGCTCCCCTGCACGTCCTCGCTCTCCTCGCCGCCCATCCCCTCGTGGTCGGGCAGGCCAGCGCTCACCCCGAGCGCGATCCCCCGCGCAACGCTCTCCGCGGCGATCTCCGGCGACGCGGGGGAGGGGGTCGCCTGGGCGTCGCTGGGATTCGGGTCGCCGCGAGCAGTCCCCCCCGCGTCCACATTCGGCTGGTTCCGGGGGACGGGGCCGGCGGAATGGCGGAGGGCGAGGCGGGAATGGTAACCAGCCGGAGGTGACCAACGGTCCCCCCTTCGCCGCGGACCCCGGCCAGGTTGCTCCTCTGCGCGCGCCGACGCTGCGCGAATATCAGCCCGCGCGTGAGGGGAGGGCTCAGTTCCGCACCCCCCGTCAGGTCCCCGGCTTCTCTGCGCCGCGCTTATCTGTTGGCCGGACTCCTGGCTGGCCGACGGCGTTTCCGCGCGAAGCGCTGACTGCACCTCCCCCCACTCGCGCGGGGAGAGACCCCATGCTGACCATGTGCCGGATTCTGAATCTGGCGGAGGCGTGCGAGATGGTGGCGAACTTGCAACTGGCGGTGTGTGGGGCCACGCGGAGCTTTTCGAGCAGTTTCGGTCCAGGATCCCGAGGATCCTGCGTGACTTTGGCAGAATCGCTCGAGTCGCCGTTGGCACCCGTGTCGGATGCGCCCGCCGGGGTATCTCCCTTAGCCCGTACTTTCCCCCGCCACGTGGGGGATCTTGTAGGGGCTGCTCAAGCCGGGACCCCCTTGGACACGCTCCAGTCGACGGCGCATTTCCTTCTTGCAGTATCGGCGTGCATGCGCTCGATGCTTGAGGTGGAGGGGGCGGAGCCGTACACGATGTAGGCCTTCGCCGCGTGTAGAATTGCATGCCGCGCCTCTTGTTCTTGCCCAGCTCCTTGCCTTTGTGAGTGTGTGTGCCCTTTATATGCCGAACCCACGTTTTGTGTCTTGCCACCAGGACTGCGCGGCCGAAGGCCGCCGGCGCGAGCCGCCGAAAATGAAACACCCACGAAATAATGAGGCAGGGAAGGCACAGAGGGCCCCTTAAATAGGCTCAGAGGGAGAGGGCAGAGGGAAGAGGGAGAGGGCTGGATGCTAAGGCCTTCTCTCTCTCGCTCTCTCTCCGCCGAAAATGAAACACCCACGAAATAATGAGGCAGGGAAGGCACAGAGGGCCCCTTAAATAGGCTCAGAGGGAGAGGGAAGAGGGAGAGGGCTGGATGCTAAGGCCTTCTCTCTCTCTCAAATGGTCCTTTGTATTAATTCAGCAGGGGGTACAGACGTGCAATTTGACTCGTGGTTCCCTTATACCTTCCGACCCATCAACCCATCCCTCTGACCCTCCCCCCCCCCCCCCCTTTAGTGCCCCTCTAACCCTCCAGCGTATGGAGGATGTCCCCTAGGTGCAGCGGCCATGGGTCCGCTGCCATCTGGGGGTGCGCTGCCTCAATCCCCGCCCTGGCCTTGGTGTGCAGGGCATTCGCCTGGGAGCGCTGGAGGGCCACTGACCAGCGCTATCTGAAGTGGCAGGCCATCTTCTTGGCCGATTTGGCCAAGGGGTTGGCCCTGAACCTGTTCCTAGCCGCTGCTGTGGCCAGCAGCTTAAGGAACGCTGTCGTGGGGGGCGCGTTTGCCCCGTATGTCTCGACGGCCAGGGCGCAGAACACCACGTGTTCGGTGTGCCTGTAGTAGTCCCTCTCCTTCCGCCTCTGTGCCTCCCTTGCAGCCCAGCCTGGGGGTTTGCAGGCTGTGGGGTCCCGGTTCTGTAGCACAGGGTCGGTGATAGTCGTGTCTGTGATCCAGGTCTCTCCACTGTCTGGGTCACGCACGATCACATCGGCCTTTTTCGGGTCATCCGGTGGTGAGTACATTGCATTCTCCAGGTATACCACCAGCTGCGCCTCCCTCGCCATTTTTGCCACGGCAAAGGCCAGCTGGTTGTGTGTGCGCGTTCTGTCCGGGCCTGTGCTGCAGCGGAGTAGGTGGTTGGGTAGGCTGCAGTCGGCCACGAGCTCTCCACACTCGCACACGGTAGGTACGTTCTGTCGGATGCCCATGCGGAGGGCCAGGGCTGTTCGGAATTGCCCTGGTGAGAAGCAGAGGTCTGGGGTCAGGGGTAGGGCTTGCAGCCATGCTCCCGCTCCCTCGCCTCTCAGGCTGACGAGGCGGAGCGTGTGGCCCATCTCGGGGGCTGACCTGATTGAGCGTGATTCTTCTGTCAGGGTGTCGGCCTTTGCCGCGTGCACTTCCTGAGAGAGGGCCCGCTGCAGCTGGTCTTGGGACGGGGTTTCTTGCTCCTCACGGAGGTATTGCAGCGCCAGCGGCGGCAGACGTCCCTCCATGTCTTGGATGGTGACTGAGTGTGCCGCAGACGGCTGCAGGGCGTTGCTGTTGCTCCCTAGCGCTGCGGTTGCTGGCAGGTCGAGTGAGCGGAGCAGGCGTAATGCCTCTGTCGTTGAGGCCAGGTAGGCTGGTGCGGCTTCTGTTGTGGGATCCGTGAGGCCCAGTCCACCTAGGGCCACTGGGAGGGTTGCTTGGCGGATGAGAAAATTGAACTCGGCTTCGCGGCGGGGTGGTTGGATGCTGGCGGCAGTCAGGGCGGTGTTGAGCAGTTCGGCGCACCACGCGTGCCATTCCGAGAGGGGAAGGACATCCGCTGAGGTGGTGCGCAGCAAGTAGCCGATTCTGCGGCTGATGCAGCGGGACAGGAGCAGGAGGGCATGCTGTGGATGGATGGATGCTAGGGAGCCCAGGGGTGCCGCCGCGTCTGTCAGAGTACTGCGGACCAGGTCAGCGCAGAAGCGCTGTGACCCCACGGGACTTCCCAACACCCGTACCCCCTCGTGGGTGAGTGGGAGGCCCTCGGGGAGCTCGTCACCCTCAAGCGGCGTCGTGGACCACGCCGACGATTTGCTGAGGTTGCAGGTGAGGCCATCCTGGGCGAGCAGCGGCGTCAGTAGCTTAAGCGCGCCGAGCGTTGCTGTCGCCGGTCCGACCATGGTGATGTCATCTGCGTATGCTAGGATCGTGACTTCTGGGTGCTCTGCTGCTGTGCGTCTGAGGTGCTGCTGGATTGATGCCGCGAACAGCAGGGGTCCGAGGGGGTCCCCTTGCCTCACCCCCCTTCCGCTGGTAAGTGCCGTCGTGCTCAAGCGGGGATCGGTCAGCAGCTGAGAAGGCGTTGCGTAGAAGGAGCGGGTGAAAGGTATGAGCGGTGCTAGCGGGGTGTTGTTGAGTGCGTTGAAGAACGCTTTCCTCTCTACGGAGTTGAAAGCGTTTTCAATGTGGAGTTGGAGGACTAGGCTGGAAGGTTGTGTAGTGGTGAGGTCTCTGACTGCATGTATAACGAACTCAGCTCCGCCTGGGACTGCCACACCGAATTGTTGGGGTAAGAAAAATCGCCTTGTTTCTCCTTGCAGTTCCGAGAGTGCCACCTTTGCTGCCAACCGGAGTAGGGATTCCCCTATTGCGATGGGGCGTACCCCCCCCCCCTGGTTTCGCGAAGGCGATGAGGCGGGATGGCGAGAGTAGTGCTGCAACCTCGGTGGAAAGATTCGTGCAACCTCTCTCTCTCTCTCTCTCTCTCTCTCTCTCTCTCTCTCTCTCTCTCTCTCTCTCTCTCTCTCTCTCTCTCTCTCTCCGCACAGCGCACGCATTTCCCCCTCTTCTTCCCGCCTCCCTCCATCTCTCCCGGCTCTCTCCCGGCAGACCACACGCGCACCCACCCACCCACCCACCCACCCACACACTCGCGCCCCGTGCCCTCTCCTCTCGCTCACCCACTCACCCCACCACATGCCATGGCCCTCTGCATATCCTCCCTTTTTTCCCTCTCTCTCCCTTCCCCCCTCTCCCCTCCACCCTCCCCCTCCCCCCCAACCCCCCCCCCCTCCCCCACGCACCCCGCACACCAAGTGCCGTGGCCCTGGGCGTCCCTGGGCGACAGGTAGTCACCGAACATGTCGACCTGCCCCTTGCTCTGCGTCTGCATGCCCGCGATGAACCACCGCGCGCCCACCACCTTGTTGCTGCACGCCTCCACGGGAAAGTCGTCCGTCACCTCGCATGAACCCACCCACGTGGCGGGCGGCGCGGAGTACGAGCCCTGGGGCGGAGGGGAGAGGTGGGGAGAGAGGGGTAGCGGGGGGAGAGGTGGCGCGTTTAGGCGGCGGGAAGCGATACAGGCAGGGACCGGGGTAGGGACATGGTGTGCGTGTGCAGCAGGGCGCGCCCACCACCTTGTTGCTGCACTGCACGCCGCCAAGGGAAAGTCGTCCGTCCGTCTCCTCGCACTCGCCCACCCATGCAGCGGGCCGTGGCCAGGGAGGAGTATGAGCCCTGGGAGGAAGGGGGGGGAGTGGCGGCGCGGGAAGAGAGGTAGCAGAGGAAGGGGCAAGGGTCTAGGCGGGGACAGCAGGGCGTGCGTGGGTGCCGGGTGGCAAGTAGCAAAAAGGTGCTGTTGCCCTGGGTTGAGGTCAGGGGGAACGGGGCTACTCTGGGTGCTATGATACAGCGGAAACACGAGGGGGGGAAGCGTGTCGTGAGGAGGCGAGAGAAAGCCCTGGGAGGGGGGGAAGTGGGAGGAGGGGTATTGTAAGGGAGACAAGGGTGGATGGGGAGGGTGAGGAAGAGAAGGGCAAGGGTGTGTGCGAGTGAGGGCTTAAAAAAGAATCCCTGCAGGGTGCGTGCGTGCAGGAACATACATCATCAGCGAAGGACTTGTGTTCGGGCCAGATGCCGGTGTCCACGACGCCCACCACCACGTCCTCGCCGGCGCTGCTCTGCCCGCCCGCCGCCGCCCACAGCGACGGCGGCAGCTGCAGGAACGCGGGCGACGCAGTCGTGAGCAGGCGGAAGCGCCCGCTGCGCGTCACGCTGCCCACGGCGGGGTGTCGCCGCATCCGCCGCGCCTCCCCCGCCGTCAGCTTCGCCGCGAACCCGTTCGCCACGTGCGTGTAGCTGTAGATGACTTTCTTTAAGCGCACGCGCGCGTCCGCGGCCACTTGGCGCTGCTGGCGCCGCAGCATGCGCTGGAACGCGCGCACTGCGGGCAGGCGCGAATTGATGCGCGCGCGCCGCCGGAATGCAGCGCGGTGCGAAGCGGTTGATATAGGGATAGGGCCGGCTGACGCCGCGGAGGAGGCGGAGGCAGAGGGGGATGATTGGGTGTTAGTTTCAGTGGGTTGGAGGACAGCAGTGGCGGGGAATCCGGGAATGCCGCCGTGATAGGCGGCAACGGGGGGCGCGGAGCGGAGCTGGACGATGTAGAGCGCGCGCGGCAAGGGCGCTGCTGCTGCGCGCGCGGGTGCCGCAGGGAGGCCCGCGGATGATGATGCGCGCGCGCGGGGACGATTGGAGGGCGCTGCAGGGCGCAGGGCGGAGCGAAGAAGGGAAGGGGTGTGCGGAAGGGGCGTGAGAAAGGGGTTTGAGTGAGGTAAGCGTGTGAAGATGAGGATAGATGTGGGGAGGCGGGCGGGAGGGCGGGAGAGAGAGAGCGATGGTTGGTGGGGCATGCTGAGGCATGGCGTAATGAAGTAGTTCGGGGGAAAGATGATTGCTGTTGAGAAAGATACCGGCCTGAATGAAATCATGGTGCTGCGCTGTCAGTGACATAGGCAGCGCGAGCGTGAGTGACGTGACATGATGACCGTGGGCCCCGCGTGCATAGTGGTATCAGTGGCGCGAGCTGCGGGTGCAATGCAAAGCGATAGAAATTCGACGATTGAGCGAGCGAGGCGGCGGTGAACGCATTGCATGACCTTCCAATGGTCATAACGAGTGGGCGAGAAACGAGTATTACCTTTGTGTGCACCCGCCGCCGCGTCCGCTGCTGCATCCACCCCCGCCACCACCACTACCGCCACGGCTAGTCCTAGCAGCAGCATCATTACCGCCAACCAGAGCAATCGCGCAGTCACCCGTGCCGCGACAACTGGTCTCGTTACGACCCATCCGCCGAGCCTTATCCTGTGCGTCGGTAACCGTTGCACCATCAGGGTGTTGCCGCTGTCGCCACGGCCCGTGTTGTGCGAGAGGCCACACCCGGTTACCGTTCTCGAACGCCTTGAGTCGCGCTCAACGTGATAAGAGATTTAACGTTACTCGTTCGTTTGGACGGTGCTTGCGGGATGATGCTCCGCCCCTTATATCCTTGCTGCGACCATGATTACTTCAAGGTAAACAACATGTAAGATTTCTACGTATGAGTGGGAGCGGTACAGCAGGAGACGGCGTAAGACGTGTTTCTGCAGCTCCTAAAATCGCACGTCACATGCTTTACTTATAGCAACGACCACGTTCGATCGAAGGAGGTTGTTTGTTTCGTGACAGCAGCGCATGCCTCCTCCATCCATCCCAGATTCCAAGCCCAGCCCGCTCACCCCAACCAAGAATTAGCAGCCGCGTGCATACTGTAGAGCAGAGTGTCGCATAGTCGATGGTCTTGACACGAGTCGAGTCGAGAAACAATAGAGGGGCATTTATCTCAAGAGTAACGAATATCGATGCATTCAAAATCAGTTTTTACTGGTGTTCAGCAATGCACCAATCCACCTAGTGGGTTCGGTTCCACCAACTGTCTTTTAGTGTTGCCCACTCGCAACAAAAATAAACCCCCATTGGAAGGCATGCGCTCGCGACGCCTAAACCTTAAACACTATGAGGCATGGTGTTCAGGGTCGATGAGTTGCGAACGCATGCCTTCTGAAAGGGGTTTATTTTTTTCTTGCCTGCGGGCAGCACAAGACGACATATTAGGGTTATTGTAGACGTGTGAATATACCATAACAAACGCATCTTATCGCCGTCTTTGTTGTAACCATCGTGCATACCTCGTCATAATTATTGTCTGAATGATAATGAACACTAACTGGTAACTGAATGTGAAGATAGTAGGCAGAGTTAGGATCAGGAGCCATAGCTAGGAGAGTCCTAGCTAGGCAAGAAACAGTTTAGGTAAAAGAGGAGGGTTCACTAGCAGCAATGAGGATACATATAGCAAACCCTAGATGGGTTGTACTCGCTATAGAGCACCCCACTACAGGCTAGAGAATAACATTCTAACACACCCCCATAGCCAAAGTGGGGTGTAATCAGTACAATGAGCAAGCAGGTATAGAGCAGGAGTTCACAAAGGTAAGCAAAGCTAGAGCTAATCACAGCGGGCAAGTGAGGAGGAGGAGGAGCTGTGGAGGTAGAGAAGATGGGAGGCAACGACTGAAGCTGCAGAGGCACGGGCACAGGAGCGGCTGACTCAGAGGCTACCGAAGCAAGGGCGACGGACTACTGGAGTAACTGGCTCGGCGGCTATAGAAGAGCGGCAGGAGCAACGGACCCACTGGCGACTGGTGCAGCAGGCTCACTGGCTACCGAAGCAAGGGCGACGGACTACAGGCGCTGCAGGCGACACGACAGGTACCTCCACACAACCTCCTCCAACTGCCCCACACCCTCGACACACACCCACTGCTCAAACCCTAGCTCCACTCCCACGCACCCCCCTAAAACCCTAAACCCTAGGCTCCCACACACCCACCCCCCTCAGCGGCAGCTGCAGCAGTGGGAGACCAGGGAGGAGGAGGAGCAAGGGGAGTAACACACAACCGCCACCCCCACACTCCTCACCCCCAAACCCTAATTCAGGAGAACGGGCAGCAGCAGGGGTGGGGCACCGTCAGAAGCACGGGGGACAGCGAACAGCTCAAGGACAGAGAGGAACGGGCCACCCACGGGCCTGGCACAGCCCGACGAACCGCGCGCAGGCGGCCCGAGCCGCGCGCGGGCCTGGCGCAGCCCGTACGGGCCGCGCGCGGGCCTGGCGCAGCCCGTACGGGCCGCGCGCGGGCCTGGCGCAGCCCGTACGGGCCGCGCGCGGGCCGGGCGCAGCCCGTACGGGCCGCGCTCGGGGCTAGCGCAGCCCGCGCTGGCCAGGACGGGCGGCGGGGGACGACGGGCTGGTCCCCGTCGCCCGTCGAAGCGCCCCCCGGGGGCGACGCGCGGACCGACGGGGCAGAAGGCCGCCGCGCGCCTCGGGGCGCACGGCGGGCAGAGAACCGCCGCACGTCCCGGGGCGCACGGCGGGCAGAAAACCGCCGCGCGCCTCGGGGCGCACGGCGGGCAGAAAACCGCCGCACGCTCCGAGCGCGCGGCGGGAAGAGAAATCCGTCGCACGCCACGGGGCGTGCAACACACAGAGTAGCAGCGGAAGCAGTTTGGTGGGCCCACAGGCCAGGAGCGTAGATGCTCTGATACCATGTGAAGATAGTAGGCAGAGTTAGGATCAGGAGCCATAGCTAGGAGAGTCCTAGCTAGGCAAGAAACAGTTTAGGCAAAAGAGGAGGGTTCACTAGCAGCAATGAGGATACATATAGCAAACCCTAGATGGGTTGTACTCGCTATAGAGCACCCCACTACAGGCTAGAGAATAACATTCTGACACTGAACAATTTAACGTTCACTACACCATACGTACTGTGTATATTACGGCTTTGACCATACTATTTACCGATATTGTACTAAGTCTCAACCGTTTCTCAAATCCTCCCATTGCCTTCCAACCTTAAAGCCAGGGTCTCATGTACGGGTTGGCCGTTCAACTGCAAAACATTTGGGCGAAAGTGAGTTCTTTCGCGAGTCTTGATTTGACAAAAGTTTGGCTCCATAATTGTTAACCAATCAGACAGACAATTTTTTCATCGATTGCAAAACACATAGTCTACTTGAGACCCTGTCTTTAAGCTCACACCACCCACATAACCGTTGAACGTGATGAATGTCGAAGAGAAAGGCACCGCCCTCAATTGAGCGCAGCCGATCTCGCCGTCGACGAGAAGTTATCGGCGGAGTGGTCGTCGAGTGTCTTCGACGGAGGTCGCGGTTGAGCAAGCTCTACTCGACGGAATCTGGTCGACATCGTCGACGTGCAGCGTTGGTCGAAATTAGCGGTCGAGGAGGCCCGTCGATGAGGCCCGTTAATGAGCGCTGGTCGACGAGCCCGTCGAGAAGTGCTGGTCGACGAGGCCCGTCGAAGAACTCTGGTCGAAGAGTTCTGGTCGAGAAGCTCTGCTCGGCGAACGATGTTCGACCGAGCGGCATCGAGCTGGTCGACCAAACTTGCAGAGGTGTGGGAAATTCGCCTAGGAGGTTTTGGCGAAGTTCGACCTGCAGAACGGCAGCACGTGCTCGACGGTTAGCACATAGAGAAATTGACGACACATTTTCTACATGCCACCTGCGCAATGTGCCTGGCGGTAAAACCGTCGACTTGCACCTACTTGGTAAGTGCGCACATGTGCGCAGATAGTCAACTGCGATTGGAGATAGACAACATGTGATTGCACATAGTCATCTGCGACTGCAGTGCTGGTAGGCCGCGCGCAGTGCAACGCTAGCAGACCACTCTGTTGCAGCGTTGCAAGCCGCTCTTCTACTGCGCTGGCAGAGCTTGCCCTGCATAGTGTTGCGGAGAGTCACTCTACAATAGTCGTGCGCTAGACTACGGGGTGTTGGCACGAACTCTAGGAGTGATCGTAGCTTTGCTTAGTTCCTTAGCACTTGCACAATCATGGGAGATTTTTTGCAAGAGTTTCCACTGGCAATGTTAGCATTACAAATTGATAGCAATGACAATGACAAGAATGATTACATCAGGCACCTAGCAATTCTGCAGCTAGCCTGGTCGACCGCCAGCACAGCATGTATGGTCGACCGCCGGACAGTGTTGCGTAGAGGAGTTGCTCTAGCACTGCAGAAACGCGGCCCGCCAACACAGCAGGTCGACGGCGTGCCAACGCTGCAGCAGAGCGGCTGTCCAGCGTTGCACCCGTAGATGGTAGCAGTGCGCACGCTCGCAGGTGCACGCAGACGATTGGTCCGACTTGCATCGTTGTGCACCAGTCGGCTGTTGTCTGCGCCTGACGAGCCACATCGATTTCGGGATACCAGCCCGAAGTCACCTTCGTCACCGTGACCTCGACGACGTTCAAATGCCTCTGCAGAACTCGCCGAGCAGGTTACCTGTTTGACCTGGTCGACCACTCAGTGCGTGCCCTGGTCGATGAGCCCTTCGTCGACCACCGCGCCTTTCGAACTGCCCCTCCTGGTCGACGGGCCGTTTGTCGACCAGCCCGGTCAGATGCAGCCGTCGTGCTCCCCTGGTCGACGGCTCCAACCTCGCGACAGTCATGTGTAGGTCGACGACCACCTCGTCGACCTGCCCCACAGATGAAGGCCGTCGAGCACCCCTAGTCAACGGCAACACAGCAGCGATCCCCTGCAGCTCGACGAAGCCCGTCGAGCAGCTCCCTCACTTCGTACGGTCGGTTGCTACTTCCGTGCATCCGACCGGGACGTCGGTGTCGCCCAAGCAAGAGCGGGGCCAACACTCCATTCCCGTTAAGAAGTGCTTGCTAGGTGGTGCTGTCAGAATATTATAGCTCATGCATATTGTGTAGGCTATAGTGGGGTAGCCCATAAGGGGTACAACCCAATTAGGGTTAGTACTTGTACCCAATTCATTCATAGTTCATTCATTCCTTGTTTCTTATCATGGTATCGAGCAGGTTCCCTCGTGGGAACTGTTCCTAGGGCCCAC